CTTGGGCGTCCTCCACGAGAGGTACACTGCATTTTATGTTATTGTTACAATGTTTCTTGATTCATGTATCAAGTCAACATTGAGGGGACCATTATTTTGGGAAGTACGTGGTCTGTCCTCCGTACGTGTAGTTTTGTAGTCTGAAAGGATCTGGTAGTCACAAGTTCTCCTTGTCTATATTTCGTCCAGTAATTGATCTGTTTTGGCTGACTAGCAGCGCATTTTAACGATTTCACGGTATTTTTAATTTTTCTTGCTACCGCTGTGTAGTGATATCAGGAAAACCCGAAACTTAGACAAAACGGCTGAGCGATAGCATAGCCACATGGCGTGTTTGCATCGTAAAATCACGTTGTCCTCGTTGAAGGAGCAACGGCAAAGTCCATTTATTTCACAGCTCACAATTTCTAGCTGAATAAGCCCAAAAGCCACGATGCCAAGCAAAAAGGAGAAGAAGCCAAAAATTGAAAAGGAGCACCTAGACCAAGGAGCGCGCTTGCTTATCACTGGTGGAGAATGTGCCACTAGTGATTACAAGCGATGTTGGGTTGACTTATCCAAAGGGAATGCTGGATACTCTGGTGAAAATTCAGTCAATGTTGGAATGACGTTCAACGGTAGTGAAAAGTTTTACACAACACGGCTTAACACATCTTCTGTCATACCTCGTTCTTTGGTGTTCAACAAGAATGCCGGATGCAATAAGTTCCTGAACAATCGAGACAAGGAGAGCAGAAAGATCCTGAAAGGAATGGGAGACGTTGCCAGATCCCTGGCTAAGTATGCCTATGAAAGAAAGGTCAGTCCCAATATTGCCAAATCCATTCTCAAATATGTTTTCTACAAGATGTTTGAGCAGTACAGGGGCTATCTGGGGGATTCCGCTGATGAACAAAACAGTGAGGCTGGGCTCGAGATGCCAAACCTTGGAGATACTCCAATGAATGTCCAAGACGACCCTACTTCTTATATTATCTGATGATGCTTCGGAAAGGAGTCACAGGCACAAAAACAGTAGGCAAACCCATGAGATAGTATGGCCGCGTCAAATAAGAATCAAACTAGCCGTGTAGCACTTAAAAGTCAAATTATAGGTTCTATTTTGAATACCATCTTCCGTTTAAAGTTTACAACTCCTACAAACAAGAAACTATTAGTCATCACCACATCTCACTTGGCTGAGGGTTTCGCGGATGTTGCACCCAGCGGAGAGTGTCCAATGTTACACGATCGGGTCTTCTTCCACCATCCAATGGAACAAGAAAAATAGGGACATCTCCTGTTGGGCGTAAACTATATTCTTGAAATTTCAATACAAGTGGTTTCAGCTTCTTTGCTCTGTAGGTGAATTTTTGCTTGGAGATTTTCTCTGTCCAAGCTGCCGTAATTTTGTAGTGAAAGACGGACCCACAGAGCTCAATATCTCCACCAATACCTCCGCTGGTGAAGATGTGTAGGTAGTAAAACCAAAATATCTGTTGGTGAATTTCATCAAGGGCTTTGAACTCATGTATGAGGTCGTTGCGTCTTGCTTGGATAGTTGCAAACTCAGATTTGGGTAATTAGCTTTAAGGCCGGCTTTGTGGAGCCGTTGGAGACATAGTTCTAGCCTTTGAAGGTGGTCTTCAAAGTCACCTTTGGTGACACAGAGGACGCCGTCTAAGTATGTTAAGACGTCGCCAAGGCCTTCCATGAGGTGGTTCATAGCTTCTTGAAAAATGTAAGCTGAGGGCATTGCGCCCATGGGCAGTTTTTGGTAACTACATTTGCCCCAAGGTAAGGTGATAGTACAGAGCTTAGATGACTTTGGGGTAATACGGACGTTCCAATATCCCATCTTAAAGTCAATGGCGGAGGCATAAGAAAATCCGCTGATATCCGTAAGAAAATCGGAAATTTTTGGAAGTGGGTAGACTTGTTTATGGAGCATTGAGTTTAAGACTCAAAAGTCCATGACAAGGCAACATTGCCCATTTGCCTTGGGGCCAATAAATGAAGGATCGCTCCATTCGCTGGAAGTGTCCTTCTTGAGAAGGCCAATACAAACTAAACGATCAATTTCTTTGCGGATCGTGTCTCTATGTACATGTGGAACTTGCATAGGTTTTGCGTGGAATGGTTTACTTCCTGGTTTAAGTTTGAAGTCAACTGGAGGAATGTTCCACGTGCCTAAGGTGCCATCAAATAATTCTTTGTGTTTGTAGAGCAAACTTTTCAATGCATTTGTTCAACGTCCATGTTAATATCTGCTATTTTGTATTTAGCGTCCAGAAGTTTAGACGCGCCAAATCGTCCTCCTCCTTGTTCAATTTCTATGATCTCTTCAAGCAAGGCTTGAAGTTTGTCTTCATTTTCATCAGAACGTTCTGATATTTGTTTTGTACATTGTTGTATCACCTGACACTTTCCGCAGAATCACTACGAGTCATGAAATGGATGATCAACGCATCATTTGCGGTGCATCCAGATTTCAAGAGCCATACTGGCGGCACTCTGTCCTTTGGAGGAGGTGCAGCTCAAGTGATGTCAAAGAAACAAAAAATAAACAGCAGAAGCAGTACCAAAGAGGAGCTAATTGCTGTTGACGATGTTGTCACAATGATACTATGGACGAAGTTGTTCATGGAGTGGCAAGGGTATCCAATCGAGAAGAATATCTTGTATCAGGATAACAAAAGCGCGATTCTACTGGAAGAGAATGGTCGCAAGAGCGCGGGCAAAAGAAGCCGAGCTATCAATATTCATTACTTCTTTATCACAGATCAAGTTCAGAAAGGAAATGTTAAGATCAAATACTGGAAAGGGCGAAGGCATCAAAAGGACAAATTTCCTGAGAAGAGTCAGGAATATGATTAATTGGGAAGGGATGCTGAACAATCGCAACATAAAAAGGAATCATGGGAAAGATTAATGGCCAACGGATTTCTGTACAATTCTGATAGAGCCAAGTATCAATCAAGAATTGATGGAATGACGACGCAGTATATTTGGCTTGAATTGATGATTCAATCACAAAAGTGAGTTCAACAATTTTCCTTTGGAAAATCCCTTGTTTACAGAACTTGATTTGACTTCTACAAGGATTCTGCAGTACTTTGGGATATCTTGTATTATTCCCTACTACATTGTACACAACATCAATATCCCACTTGTATAGGGTCATTCCCTTTTTGTGTGGATATAGATTGTCCGACAGACTTGTGTCTGTCATACTTGCGTCAAATCCCAACATCACAATCAAAGTTCGATTGTACATGTCAAAAACTTCATACTTGAATATTTTCTTTTTGGAACATAAAAACTCATATTTCATCATATCCCAACACACTCCTGCCATTGTGACAATCACCATTGGCAGCAATGGGACATGCTCTCATTCACTGTTTATTTTGTTTTGTATTTTCTTATGCACATATACATACTTGTCTGACCTATTCCTGTGGACCAAGAATCAGATCCCTGAACTTGCAAAACTTCTCACCTTGCAATAGCTTAGTCATGAAATCCGCAATCATATCGTCAGTTGGACAGTATTTGATCTTAACATTTCCTTTCTCAACTTGATCTGTGATAAAGAAATAACGAATATTGATAGCTCGGCTTCTTTTGCCCATGCTCTTGCGACCATTCTCTTCCAGTAAAATCGCGCTTTTGTTATCCTGATACAAGATATTCTTCTCGATTGGATATCCTTGCCACTCCATGAACAATTTCATCCATAGTATCATCATGACAACATTGTCAACAGCAATCAGTTCCGCTTCTGTACTGCTTCTGCTGTTTCGCTTTTGCTTCTTTGACATCACTTGAGCTGCACCTCCTCCAAAGGACAGAGTGCCGCCAGTATGGCTCTTGAAATCTGGATGCACCGCAAATGATGCATCGATCATCCATTTCATGACTCGTAGTGATTCTGCGGAAAGTGTCAGATGATACAACGATGTACAAAACAAATATCTCATCATGCAAACACACTTCTTCCAATCAGACTCTGTAGGTTCTCTAACTCTCAAGGCAAGAATAGTAATCATTGGATGGATATCCAAACGAGCTCTCTTAGAGACATAAAGTCCCCTTGCAACAGTAGTATGAAAGATCTGACGGTACTCAGCACTGAGTAACTTCCTTTACCAGCTTCCAGTAAATTGTTACCAGCTGGTGTTTCCTGCTTTGAATCCTTGTTGAACTTATATATATATATAACTGATGCATTAATCGTATTAAAACTGTTGAAAAATGACGAAATATGAGTTTTTACGTTCCGAAAAGAAACTATTCAAGTACAAAGTTTTCGACACGTACGATCGGACTTTGATTGTGATGTCGGGATTTGACGCAAGTATGCCGGACGGTGAGTCTGTCGGACAAACTACATCCACACAAAAAGGGAATGACCCTATACAAGTGAGATATCGATGTTGTGTACAATGCAGTAGGGAACAATGCAATATGTCCCAAAGTACTGTATCCAACACAGAATCGTCGTAGAGGTCGAATCAAGTTCTGTAAACAAGGGATTTTCCAAGGGAAAATTGTTGAACTTACTTTTGTGATTGAATCATCAATTCAAGC